AATCTTATAATATTCTTGAAAATTTATTTTATAAATTCATAAGAATTTTATAAATAAATTGAAAATATTATTATTTAGAATTAATAGAAGTTAATTTTGAATAATAATTGATATAATAGAAAGAAGTTTATTTTCTTACTTTTTATGAATAGATTTCTTAGATTTCTTAGATTTCTTAGATTTCTTAGATTTCTTAGATTTCTTAGATTTCTTAGATTTCTTAGATTTCTTAGATTTCTTAGATTTCTTAGATTTCTTAGATTTCTTAGATTTCTTAGATTTCTTAGATTTCTTAGATTTCTTAGATTTATTAGATTTCTCAGATTTCTAAAATCTAGATAGATTTATTATATAGATTTATTAAATTTCCTACATTTTAATAGATTCATTCAATAGATTTATTCAACTTATTAGATTTATTAGATTTATTAGATTTATTAGATTTATTAGATTTATCAGATTTATTAGATTTATTAGATTTATTAGATTTATTAGATTTATTAGATTTATATTTATTAGATTTATTAGATTTATTAGATTTATTAGATTTATTAGATTTATTAGATTCATTAGATTCATTAGATTTATTAGATTTATCAGATTTATAAATTGATTAAATTAAATAGATTCATTGTTTTTTTTTACTATTAGATTTATTGAATTTATTTATTAGATTTTCTAAATTCATTCTATGATTTATCAATAAAATGGTTTTCTACTACTTCAATTTTAATTCATTCATAATCCAATAGTAGAAAGAATAAATCAATTCAGTAACAAAGATTTCAATTTTATAAAAATCAAGTCAATCAATTTCTAATAAAAGTACTCTATATAATATATCTATAACTATGAGACTATAGTCTTTTATTAAACTTATTAGTTAATAGTCTATAGACTAGAAAGTTATTAACTGTCTATGAACAGACATAAGACCTATTGGCATATAGTCTATAGACTGATAAGATATGAGATCTATTGATCAAGAGTCTATAGACTGAAGAGTTATTGAATGCCTATGGACATAATACCTATTGGTGAACAGTCTATAGACTGGAAAGATATGAGATCTATTGATCAAGAGTCTATAGACTGAAGAGTTATTGAATGCCTATGGACATAATACCTATTGGTGAATAGTCTATAGACTTATTGTTAACTCATAGCTTATAAGCTTGAAATATTATTCATGAATATATAACCTATAGGTAATGATCTATTGATCTTAATAAAGTAAAAGTTCCAAAGGAACAATTACCAAACGAACTCTCCACACTCAAGTTTTGCCAGCATATCCTTAGCATCTGAGCTTAAGAAATCATGATGACTGGCATCAACAAATTTACGAAACCATTTTCTCTTTGAAGGAGAATCGGCAGTAAATAAGTAATCTTTGAATTTTTGTGGCCCATGAATCTTGTAACCTGATGTAGAAATTCGTTCATCATCTTTCACAAGTAGTACTTTATCGAAGAAGAAAATTACTTTTGTCTTCTTCAATAGTAAAATGTACCATTGAGAATTAGGTATGGCAAAGATTCCAACATTTTTGCTCAAATTCAAGAAGTTTTCATTAGAGCTTGGGAATACAGCTTCTAAATCCTTCTCCTTGAGATCAATATCCACTTGCATAAGTTGGTGGAGATCTAGAATGATCTTGATTTCGAATTCGAGTAATGATTTTGGTAATGAAATTTCGGACCATGAGGAATGAAAGAATATATCCTTGGTGATCTTCCATAATTGAGCCAAAGCCAATGCGATTGATGCATATTTCATCGAACTACTAAAAGGATGCTTGGTGAAAGAATGATCAAATTCCTCAAGGGCATGGAATATGATGATTGGAATAATTGTATCCACGTTAGTAGACATTGATCTTGAGAGTTGATCAATGAGGAACAAGGTTAACCAGTGATGTTCCATACATTTATCCCCCTTAATGATAACATATAGAAGAGAAGCCGTAATAAAATTTGACATCTTCATATCATGAAACCATCCAGGTTGAATTTGGGAAGAATTTGATCTAACCGCCACTTTCCATCTAGATATGAATGGTTTGGGACCATATAATACGAGAGGAGTGATTGTGTTTTGGTTTGTCATAATCAACACTAATTCATTCCATGTGTCCATATCCTCGGCAATCGTAGTTGGTAACCAGGATAGGCTCAATGTTTTGATGAGAATCGATTTGGTATTGGAAAGATTTTCTTCAATAATCGAATTGAAACCTTCGAGGGCGAGAATTTTGGATTCGGATGAGTCTTGAATAGCCAAGAGCTCACTCTCAAGGTTGGAAATCTTCTCATTAGATGCTTGTCGAACATTGGTGAGATCATTTAGAAGAGTAGCATTTTCTTCTTTTGATTCACAAAGTAATGTATTGGAGGATACCTTGAGTTGATTGATTTCCGTTTTGAGATGATTGATTTGAGTATCCTTAATCCCTCGCATTTGCTGGAAATTGGCCTCGGTGGATTCCCAAAGTTCATTCAACTCAAATTGATGTTCTCTAACAATGGTATACTCAGATACATGGGCATCATTGAGTTGGCCTTGGAGTTTACCAATTTCTTGATCTTTGAAATCACCAAGATCAATCAGATCCTTTTCATGATTTTGGGAATCATCCAGTAATCCTCGGATATATTGCCCATCGGTTTCCATAGATTCCCAAAGATCATTGAGCTCCATTTGGTGGTTGTGAAGGAGGGTGTCCTCATATGCATGAGTATCATCAATCTCACCGTTAAGCTTTTGAATGACGAGATCCTTTGATTTCAATAGACCAGTAAGGTCATTGATATCTTTGACATGATGTTGAATCTCCTCTTCGAGGGTTTCGATGGTCCTTGAATGATACACATTCTCAAGGATAACATCACGATTGGAATCCTCCAATAACTCAACAGTCTTTTCCAAAGTAGTGATATTCTCCTCCAATCCATCACTACGATTTTGAAGAGATAGGCAATCTTCAACACTTGCCATGAACTTATTGGCATAGTACATGGAAGACTTTGCAAGTAAAACCCTCAAAAACTTCTCCTTGATTAATTTGACTTTGCAAGGTAAAAGTTGATTAGCAGATTCCTGCAATATATCATTCTGATCTCGAAGAGTGACATTCTCCTCCTTGGAGGATTTAAGATCATTCAAAGCCGTTTGAAATCTTGAATCTATCTCCTCTTTTTCCCTTTGGAGTGTAGAGTTGTTCTCCATAAGACTCTTCAATTGCAATTCAACATCTTCCTTGCGTTGTTGAAGTGACTTGGCAGATTCCTGCGATTTTTCGAGAGTATCCTTGGCTTGTTGAAGTTCGGAATTGATCATCTCCTTATGCTTCTGTAATTTAGCGATATCATCATTGGCATATTGAAGATCTCGCTCAAATTGGCCTTTGGAATGGGCAAGATCATCCTTAGCACAATTAAGATCTCTATCGTATTTGCCTTTGGCATCATCAAGATCATCTTTGGCCTTTTTGATATCTCTGTCGTATTTGTTTTGAAGGTCGACAAGATTATCATTGACTTTTTTGAGATCTCTCGAGGAATCGGATTGAAGATTAACAAGCTTATCTTTGACTTGTTGGAGTTCTTGCCCAGATTTCTCCTTGTAATCATCCAATTCTCTCTTGGCAGATTCCTGCAATTTGATGATTTCATCATTTGCCTTTGCGAGTTCAGAACTATCATGATGATTCTTATATGATGTGAACTCGGCATGCAATGTATCATATTCATGATTGAACAAGAGTTTCTTGACATGTGGATCAAGTTCTCGAATTAAATCCAGAGAACCTTTGTATTTGCATATGATTGTGAAAGCTTGTTCGAATAACTTTTCAAGAACACCATTACTTTCATGAGAAATTATCTTTTCGAGACTTTGATAAAGTGGTTCAGTCTCTTTTAATTTCTGATTTGATTTCAATTAGTATCCATGGTGTAGATATGTACGGTAAAAACTTACCTCCTCATATCGATCCTTTAAATTTCGATGAGATTTCTCAACATGTGTTGCAGCTTGAATATCCCTTTGAGCTTCTCGAGTAACTTTGAGAAGTGGATCCCAAGCATCTAATAAATTTACCTCCTTTGAGAAATTATCTCTAACCGTAGTTTGGAGGGTGGTAAGCCTAGCACTAAGATATTTGGCTTTATCATTGAATTGCTGGAAATTGACGAAGCCTGGACCCTGACCAGGAGGATTTGGTAGGTTCGGTGGCATTTTGATGTGATGTGATGTGATTCGACGTAATTGATGTAATGGACGTCGTTGATGCAATTGATCTGATGAGATTCAAAAGTTTTCTATATAATTTACATTGAAATTATTCAAGTACTAATACTAACTGAAATGGAAAGTACGTTTTTCTAGTTTTGAATTGTTTGATATCCCCTGTAATTATAGATAACGATCTTACATGATCATTGATCTCAATCCGATTACGCATTTCATAAGGCATAGGAAATCAATGAAGTATACTAAAGACTTTGATATATATTTTATTGTATTAAAACCTACCTTCTATAAATCAAGTCATTTCTCAATCTTGAAGGATTTCAGAACCATTCAATCATATAATGACAGTAAAGAAGTTATGATGTCTTTTGATATACGAGACCATTCAATCATTAATGACAGTAAAGAAGTTATGATGTCTTTTGATATACGAGAAACTTTTTCAAGTACTTGAAGACATACAAATATTTCAAACCCATAGATTCTAGTATGTTGAGTATGTATCAATATCATAAACCGCTTGAATACCAGTGAATGGGGTGGTATTGAGGGGGCGATAGAGAGGAGTTAGTAAACAGGAAATGTTAAAGACGGGTGGTAAAGAAGGTATAACTTGCTCCATTCATTCTCTTCAACGTGGTAATGAAGATAACGAACGGAATACAAGGGAATAGATAGGTGAAAGAAAGGTAATTTAAATATGATTCCATGAGACATGCCTCAATATGTAGTACAATCAAATCGATGAAGGGGGATTTCTCGCCTAAATGAGACCACTAACTTATAGGGATTAATTACCCCGCACATAGCCTAATTACCCCGCACTTAGCATAGAATCATACCGGGAAAATGTTCATGACATTCTCAATTGTAATTACATTACCTTGTACCTACAACTTTACATTATTACGATATTGAGCACAGTCAATTCATTGATGTCTAAATGACTGATATTCTATCTATTTGACAGATGATTACAAGATCACATATAGAGAATCAAAAATTACATAAAATGAAACAAAAAGTCCAAGTACCTCCAGAAAATTCCCCTGACAAAAATATGTCTATAGACATGACCTTTAGGTAGATAGCATTCTTATGAGATGGCACTTATTAGTGAAAGTATTCTTATGAGATGACACTTATTAGTAAAAGATATCCTATAGGCCTATTGGTTAATCTTATAAGATAAAGCATTAGTATTTATGAAACCCTATGGGGTAGTGTATTTGACACGTTGAACCTATAGGTGAGATGGCATGAACATATTAAAGCCCTATAGGGTAATAGACCATTGATATATGTGTAACCTTATAAGGTAACGAATGATGAAAGATATCAAGGTTAGTTATTCTCCAGTATTCGGAAATAAACCTTCCCATCAATCTTATCCACCATCAATTGAGTACAACAATCTATTGTACTATCAGCACATGCTTGACATGGCCTATCCGTATCAATTAAAGAAAATGATTCAATCTTTCCAATAATTGAACGAAGGCATTGCCATGAAACAAGTTGAGATTTTGGATCATCTTTGAACTCAATAAGATGATCAAAAAAATCAATTCTTCCTTCCAACTCTGCCAAGAATGAATGACCGAAATCATCAAGTGATGTTTCGGGAGTTGGTACAAGGTTGAATAATGTTTCATATTGAAAAGTAAGGAGTTTTTGCCAATCATTAAGAGGTGGTATTGGTTCATCAGTAATCTTCCTTTTTTTTGAATTTGGTTGAGTCGAATTTCCCCCTTGTAATATTGTTCGAGGTGGAGTAAGTTGTGGAATTGATGATGGAGTTGGCGGGGTTTCTAATTCGTGAACCTTTGCTTTCAATTTTTCCACCTCTTCATTCCTGGTATTCAACTGGGTTTGGAGAGAGACTTTTTCCTCCCCCAGTAATGAATTGGATTCGATGAGTTGAGGAATCTTTCCAACCTCGATTTCGTGATTAGATATCTGTGATTGAAGAGAAAGCACATCCTCAATCAGACCAGATTTATTCTATTTATCTCCACCTTATCCCAATTCAAGCTCTCCCCTCTCTACTCCCCAAACTTATCGAAATTATAAACTTTCTCTATTTTCACAAATAACTACAATACTCTATATATTCCCTTCATTCCAATCAATCTCAACCCTATTTTCTTCTTCCCTTCCAATCCTATCCAAAACCCATCCATCCATCCCATCCCATGTTATTCTATTTCAATTCCAATCAATTATACCCTTATCATTTCTACCTATCCCTATCCTATCCTATCCTATTCTATCCAAACCCAATCAAATCAATCTATTCTATTCCGATTCTACCCTCTACCTCTCTATTACATCCAAAATTTATCTAAAGATCACCCTATTCAAATCACTAAATCCCTTCCCCCCTTTTTTCTCCTTTCTTTAAAACACTTGCTTGCCTATTCGCCTAATTACTTATTTACCTACTTGCCTGCCCAGTCATTTGTCTGCTCGCTTAATTGCTTCCTCGCCTATCTGTCTACCCACCTACCTATCTATTTATCTACTTGCCTACCCGCTTATCTGCCTACTTATCTGCCTATTTATCTGCCTATTTACTTATCTATCTACCTACTTGTTTGCCCACCTACTTGTTTGTCCGCTTACTTGCCTACCCACTTACTTGCCTACCTACCTACTTGCCTATCCGCTTACTTGCCTGCCCGCTTACTTGCCTGCCCGCCTACTTGCCTACCCACTTACTTGCCTACCCACCTACTTGCCTGCCCGCTTACTTGTCTACCCGCCTACTTACTTATTTACCTACTTGCCTGCCAACTTATCTAAATCTTGAATCCTTCCCAATCAATCATTCACTTTATTCCTGTACTCCTCGAAACATCAGCATCGATTAAATGGATTCCTCACTTCTTAATTATATGCCTAACTATCCCATCCCAACTCAACCTACCTCAGCCATACAACTTACATCTCGCATCTCGCATCTTGCATCTTGACGATAATACCATGGTTTTCCCACTCCTGCACTTAGTATACATACTACCATACCACCATCCCCATTCCCATCCTCATCCAAACCCATCCAGACCCATCCAGACCCATCCAGACCCATACAATCATTTCAAGAAAAACACAACCTCCTCTATCCCCTATTCCCTATCCCCGCAATCCACACGCACACACACACACACACCCTTCCCCATCCCAGTTCTCATAAAATCCAATATCCAGCATCCAACATTCAGCATCCGAACAAGATTCCCAACCCTGTAGTGGCAGGATCCGTGGTTGACAAAGCGATCGCTTCGTTAAGTATAATTTAAATTTCAATAGTTAATATTATATTATGAAAATTGTTTTTAATATATTAATATATTAATTGGATTAATTTTATCTTCATTTATATATAACAAAAGGATTTTATTCTAAAAGGATTTAGAGAATTTTCGAAATTTCTCAATTTTCGAAAATTCTAATTTAAGATAATCACTTTGAAGTAAAAGGTCTACTTATATTAGAATCAGATTGCTTTTCTGTTTATATAATAGTATCGTATGATATAATAAAACTGTGTGAACAAGGGAATTCACTTTAAAGGAATGACTTTAATATAATGACTACTGTATTAAAGATATTTAGGCGAATGTGAAAGAGACTAGCTCTTTCAATAGTGCCTATATAAGGCCTACTATTTCCCCCATTAGCTAGTTCTTTAGATTGAATACAAATAGACATTTAGGGGCCTACTCATAGTGGGAACCACGTCTTTCGTATCTCTCTCGAACCAACAAAAACTTCCGATTGAAGAATAAATCGAAAGTGAATGATAAGAAGTAGAAACCTTTTCCCCTTTAGATTTTCGGCTAATGTCTTTTGCTCACTCTATCTATTCTCTAGCTTTTATATTCACTCCTTCGCTCGCTCCCCTTCTCCTCTTAGCTTTTATTTATCTCTTTGATTTCTTTCTAGTTCCTATATATATACCCTTTCATCCACCATTCCTATAACTCTGATATTCAAAAAATCCAAGGTCTTTTAAGGCCCATATATATTTTCTTTATATTTATTAAAATTTAATAATAAATACCTAGGTAGTTCTCATTTCGAACTAATTCTATTCGTTACTAACACAGCGCTTACTTTGTTAATAATAAATAGAATATTAATATAATATTTTATATTGTATAAGGATTTATATTCAATTTCTTTTTGTATCTAGATATTAACTTTATCAGTACAGGGCAAGTCGTTATGAATATAATACATCTATCTTTACAGAAATTTTTCTCCTGATGATAGATTGTGTTTATGTTAGACTTTTGATTTAGATTTTTGATTCATACCTCTCATTCATACCTCTCATTCATACCTCTCATTCATACCTCTCATTCATACCTCTCATTCATACCTCTCATTCATACCTCTCATTCATACCTCTCATTCATACTCTCAATTCATACCTCTCATTCATACGTCTTCATTCACAACCCTACAACCCTCCATACATTTCCCTTCCCTTCCCTTGAATCTCTCCCCTTCTCTCCCCAATAAAAAACATTAATACATAACATACATATATAAATATCTCTCTACCTACCCTCTATCACATAACACTCTCCACACTCACCACCACATCCTCCACCATAAAATCCAAGCTCTCCCCTTTCTTCCTCGATATAACACTATAGATTATCTTAGCTTTTTGTAAATAATTATAATATTCTATTTATTTATATTTATCCATCTCATATCATCTCATCCCATCCCATCCCCTTCCATCCCATCCTCCTCCTCCCCTTCCCCCCTGCCCCTTCCACTTCTCCTTCCCTTCCCTCCCTTTCCCTATTTTCTCTCCCTCCTCTCCTCTTACCCTCCCCTCTGCTCTCTCCCTTTATCCTATCCCCCTCCCCCCCTCCCCTTATCCTCCCCTCCCTCTCCCTCCCTCTCCCTCTCCCTCCTTCCCTCCCTCTCCCTCTCCCCCCCACTCCAACTCTAACTCATCCATT